TAGAGAGGACTCTTCCAGCTCAGTCTTTGCAAGTTCATGGTGGTCCTTTTGAATATGTGGATTAGGTCTTTTATCTTTGGGTGGTTTTCTTAGATTGTGCTCTGTGTATGCTTAGTCACTCAGTTGTGTCCAGCTCTTTGCGACCCCATGGACTGCAGTTGCCAGGTTCCTCTGTCCATGGGGATTCTCCAGGCAAGAATACTGGCATGGGTTGCCATGCCTTCCTCTAGGTTATCTTCCCAACCCAAGGTTTGAACCCAGGCCCTCCCACATTGCAGGCAGATTCTTTACTGACTGAGCCACTAGGGAAGCCTTTTCTTAGATGATGTTTTTTAATTTTAGATTCATCCCATTATCTTCTGTTCTTTCTCTTTAAAGACTATAATCATACATAAAATTTTGTTTTAATTTTATTTATTGTATTTTTGCTCCTACTTCTTTTCTGGGTGATGAAATTACAAGTTTATTTTTTCCATTTACTTTTCTGTATTTTTAAGTTTATTTTTGTATTAAGTATAGTTGATTTACAGTGCTGTATTAATTGCTACTATCCAGCAAAGTGATTCAGTTATATGGGTATAAACATTTTTTATTTCTGTTTTTTTAACTTTTTAAAATTTATATTTATAAATAAACATATCTATTTATGGAAACATCTTTTCCATTATGGTTTATCACAGAATATTGAATATAGTTCCCTGTGCTGTACAGTAGGACCTTATTGTTACCCATTCTATATATAATAGTTTGCACCTGCTAAACACAAACTCCCACTTCATCCCTGCCTACTCTCCCTCACCCTTGGCAACCACAAGTCTATTCTCTATGTTGTGAGTCCATTTCTGTTTTGTAGTTACGTTCATTTGCATTATATGTTAGATTCCACATATAGGTGATATTACACGGTATTTGTCTTTCTGTGTCTGACTTACTTCACTTAGTGTGATAATCTCTAGGTCCATCCATGTTGCTGCAAATGGCACTGTTTCATTCTTTTTTATGGTTGAGTAGTATTCCATCATATACATGCACCACATCTTCTCTATCTATTCATCAGTTGATGAACATTAGGTTGTTTCCATGTCTTAGCACTGCTGTGAGCATAGCAGTGCATGTAGTATCTTTTTGAATTATAGTTTTGTCTGGGTATATGCCCAGCAGTGGGATTGCTGAATCATATGGCAACTCTATTTTTAGCTTTTTGAGAAACCTGCTTAACTGTTTTCTGTAGTGTCTATACCAACTTATGTTCCCACCAGCAGTCAGAATACCTTTTTAAATCCAGAGTTTACTCATTCTGTTTTCTTGTTCTTTTTTGTCCTTAGTCTTTGGTTATTATTTTTGGTGCTGTTATGCCTTTCTTGTTGCCATTTATTAAATTTTCAGTCAAATCTGTTTTCTCTTTGGGCTATTAGTATGTTTGGGCTGCTCTAACAGAACACCATAGGCTGGGTGGCTTATGAGCAGAAATTCATTTTCTCACAGTACTGGAGGCTAGTTGTTCAAAATGAAAGTGCCAGCAGCATTCGTTTCGGATGAGGTCTCTTTCCTCAGCTTGCAGACATCACCTTTTCACTGTCCTCAGATGGCCTTTTCTCTGCGGCACATGAAGAGCAAGTGAGCTCTGGTGTCCTTTCCTCTTCTAATAAGGATACCATTTCCATTGGATTCGTGCTCTACCCTTATGAACTCATTTAACCTTAACCAGTTCTAAAAAGTTTTGTCTCCAAGTACAGCCATATTGGGGATTAAGACTTCAACATTTGAATTTGGGAGGGGGGAAGTAATTCGGTCTTTTATCAGATTCTTTGCAATTTAACTCCTGAAGTCACTTGGTCTTTTTCACAGTTTTGACTAGCTCTTGCCTCCTTAGTTGCCCATTACTCCAGGTCCGTTCATATGGGTTTCCTAGTAGTCTGACCTTTATCAGAACGGAGATATCATTCAGTATTTTCCCACTTACAATGGAACTTTTTCTTTCTAGGAGTAATTTTAATTGTGGTTCAGTTCAGTCACTAAGTTTTGACCGACTCTTTGCAACCCCATGGACTGCAAAACGCCAGGCTTCCCTGTCCATCACCAACTCCCAGAGCTTGCTCCAACTCATGTGATTGAGTCAGTGATGCCATCCAACCATCTCATCCTCTGTTGTCCTCTTCTCCTCCTGCCTTCAATCTTTCCCAGCATCAGGGTCTTTTCCAATGAGTCAGTTCTTCACCTCAGGTGGCCAAAGCATTGGAGTTTCAGCTTCAGCATCAGTCCTTGCAATGAATATTCAAGACTTATTTACTTTAGGACTAACTGGTTTGATATCCTTGCAGTCCAAGGGACTCTCAAGAGTCTTCTCCAACATCACAATTCAAAATCATCAATTCTTTGGCACTCAGGTTTCTTTATGATCCAACTCTCACATCCATACATGACTACTGGAAAAACCATAGCTTTTGATTAGACGGACCTTTATTGGTAGAGTAATATCTCTGCTTTTTAATATGCTGTCTAGGTTTGTCATAGCTTTTCTTCCAAAGAGCAAGTGTCTTTTAATTTCATGGCTGCAGTCACCATCTGCCGTGATTTTGGAGCCCAAGAAAGGAAAGTCTGTCACTGTTTCCATTGTTTCCCCATCTATTTGCCATGAAGTGATGGGACCAGATGCCATGATCTTAGTTTTCTGAATGTTGAGTTTTAAGCTAGCTTTTTCACTCTCCTTTCACTTTCCTCAAGAGGTTCTTTAGTTCTTTGCTTTCTGCCGTAAGTGTGGTGTAACATCTGTGTATCTGAGATTATTGATATTTCTCCCAGTAATTTTGATTCCATCTTGTGCTTCATCCAGCCTGGCATTTTGCATGATGTATTCTGCATATAAGTTAAATAAGCAGGGTGACAATATACAGCCTTGGCGTACTCCTTTCCCAATTTGGAACCAGTCTGTTGTTCCATGTCCAGTTCTAACTGTTGCTTCTTGACCTGCATACATATTTCTCAGGAGGCAGGTAAGGTGGTCTGGTATTCCCTTCTCTTTTAAGAATTTTCCAGAGTTTGTTGTGATCCATAGAGTCAAATGCTTTGGCATAGTCAGTAAAGCAGAAGTAGATGTTTTTCTGGAACTCTCTTGCTTTTTCGATGATCCAGCGGATGTTGGCAATGTGATCTCTGGCTCCTCTGCCTTTTCTAAACCCAGCTTGAACATCTGGAAGTTCATGGTTCATGTACTGTTGAAGCCTGGCTTGGAGAACTTGGAGCATTACTTTGCTAGCATGTGAGATGAGTGCAATTGTGCGGTAGTTTGAACATTTCTTTGGCATTGCCTTTCTTTGGGATTAGAATGAAAACTGACCTTTTCCAGTCCTGTGGCCATTCCTGAGTTTTCCAAATTTGCTGGCATGTTGAGTGCAGCACTTTCACAGCATCATGTTTTAGGATTTGAAATAGCTCATCTGGAATTCCATCACCTCCACTATCTTTGTTCATAGTGATGCTTCCTAAGGCACACTTGACTTTGCACCCCAGGATATGAGGCTCTAGGTGAGTGATCACACCATCATTATATTTTTTTATATATAGTTCTTTGTATTCTTGCCACCTCTTCTTAATATCTTTTGCTTCTTTTAGGCCCATACCACTTCTGTCCTTTATTGTGCTCATCTTTGCATGAAATGTTCCCTTGGTATCTCTGATTTTCTTGAAGAGATCCCTAGTCTTTCCTATTCTATTGTTTTCCTCTATTTCTTTGCATTGATCACTGAGGAAGGCTTTCTTGTCTCTCTATGCTATTCTTTGGAACTCTGTATTCAAAGGCATATATCTTTCTTTTTCTCCTTTGCCTTTTACTTCTCTTCTTTTATCAGCTATTTGTAAGCCCTCTTTAGACAACCATTTTGCCTTTTTGCATTTCTTTTTCTTTGGGATGGTCTTGATCACTGCCTCCTGTACAGTGTCACGAACCTCTGTCCATAGTTCTTCAGACACTCTGTCTACCAGATCTAATCCTTTTAATATATTTGTCACTTCTGCTGTATAATCACAGGGATTTGATTTAGGTCATACCTGAATGACCTAGTGGTTTTCCCTACTTTTTTCAGTTTAAGTCTGAATTTGGCAGTAGTGAATTCATGATCTGATCCACAGGCACCTTCCAGTCTTGCTTTTGCTGACTGTATAGAGCTTCTCCATCTTTGGCTGCAAAGAATATAGTCAGTCTGATTTTGATATTGACCATCTGGTGATGTCCATGTGTAGTGTTCTCTTGTGTTGTTGGACGAGGGTGTTTGCTGTTACCCGTGCATTCCCTTGGCAAAATTCTGTTATCCTTTGCCCTGCTTCATTTTGTACTCCAAGGCCAAATTTGCCTGTTACTCCAGGAATCTCTTGATTTCCTACTTTTGCATTCCAGTCCCCTGTAATGAACAGGACATCTTTTTTGGGTGTTAGTTCTAGAATGTCTTGTAGGTCTTCATAGAACTGTTCAACTTCAGCTTCTTCAGCATTACTGATTAGAGCATAGACTTGGATTAATGTGATATTTGTATTTAATCACCTCTTAAGTTCTCTGTCTCATCTTTTACATGTATTTATAACACATGGTAATATGTGATATGCAAAGAGTCAGTCCTCAGCTGACTTTCTGCATACCTATGAAAACTGAAACTCTGTCTCAGTTTGTTTTGTATTTGAATATTTATTTACTTACTTAATGATGATTTGAAGTTAGTAGTATTCTGTAGTTATACCCAAGTAATGTGTTGCTGGTAACTGTATTTGCTCTCCTTATATTGATCCATAAGTTTTATGGAGAATTCATGGAGAGATTCGGATTTAAAGAGTTGCTCTTATTCCTCAGATATGTCTGAGAAATGTCTTAAAACCAAATGCATGTTTTCTAAGAACAGTTTACTCTTCCTTTTTCAGCTACCAGCAATGTAGGGCATTTGTAGGTAGGTCTCATTCCATAAGAAATGTGTTAATTTTCATATGGTGAGATAAATTTTTCTTGTTTCTAGAAGTCTGCAAAACTGATCGCATGAAAGAAAGGAGCCAAGAAAACCAGCCTAAACACATATGGAAAGTTGTATTGATCAATAACAAAAGTCTGACTAAAGAACAAGGTAATGTACTAGGAAAGTCACTTGAGTTGGACACAAATTCTTTTCCTCACAGAAAAATACTCTGTCATTGTGGCTCATGTGGAATGAGCTTCAACTATATTTCAGAATTGGTTATTGATAAAAACTCTTTAGGGAAAAAGACCAATGAATTTAATGCCTGCGGAAAATTGCTACTCAGTATTAAACGTGAGAAAACTCATATTGGAGAAAAAAATGAATTTTTTAAAAGTGGAAAAATTGTCAGCCATAATGAGGATTCTGTTCAGCTTGAGAAGATTCAAACTTTAGAGCAAAATTTTGCATATAACATACATCAAGAAACCTTCAATGAAAAGGTGGTATTCAATACATACAAGACAGAGATCACTGAAGAGAATGACTGTGCATATGGTGAATATGGGAGAAGATTCTGTGATAGCTCATCCTTCTTGTTCCATCAGATAACTGCCTCAAAGGAAAATCACTATGAATTTGGTGATTGTGGGAAATCCTTATGTGTGAAGTCCTCCCTTTTAAAACATCATGAGGCACATTTGAAACACTGTGAATATGGTGAAATTGGGAATAATTTCAGGAGGAAGTTCTACCTCTCACAGCTTCAGAAAACTCATAAAGGAGAGAAGCACTTTGAATGTAATGAATGTGGGAAAGCTTTTTGGGAGAAGTCACACCTCACTCGACATCAAAGGATTCACACAGGAGAGAAACACTTTCAGTGTAATGAGTGTGGAAAAACTTTCTGGGAGAAATCAAACCTCACTAAACATCAGAGGTCACACACAGGGGAGAAACCGTATGAATGCAGTGAATGTGGGAAAGCCTTCAGCCACAAGTCAGCCCTCACATTACACCAGAGAACACATACGGGCGAGAAACCCTATCAGTGTAATGCATGTGGGAAAACTTTTTATCAGAAGTCAGACCTCACTAAACATCAGAGAACACACACAGGACTAAAACCCTTTGAATGTTATGAATGTGGGAAATCTTTCTGTATGAATTCACACCTTACAGTACATCAGAGAACTCATACAGGTGAGAAACCCTTTGAATGTCCTGAGTGTGGGAAGTCTTTCTGTCAGAAGTCACATCTTACACAACATCAGAGAACTCACATAGGAGATAAACCCTATGAATGTAATGCATGTGGGAAAACTTTCTACCACAAGTCAGTACTCACCAGACATCAGATAATTCATACAGGTTTGAAACCTTATGAATGTTACGAATGTGGGAAAACCTTCTGCTTAAAGTCTGACCTCACAGTACATCAGAGAACTCACACAGGGGAGAAACCCTTTGCATGCCCTGAGTGTGGAAAATTTTTCAGCCATAAGTCAACCCTATCTCAACACTATAGAATCCATACAGGGGAGAAACCCTATGAATGTCATGAATGTGGAAAAATCTTCTATAATAAATCATACCTAACTAAACATAATAGAACACATACAGGGGAGAAGCCCTATGAGTGCAACGAATGTGGGAAAACCTTCTGCCAGAAGTCACAGCTCACTCAGCACCAGAGAATTCACATAGGGGAGAAACCCTATGAATGCAGTGAGTGTGGAAAGGCTTTCTGCCATAAGTCAGCTCTAATTGTACATCAGAGAACACATATAGAAGAAAAGCCCTATAAATGTAACGAATGTGGAAAATCTTTTTGTGTGAAGTCAGGACTTACTCTGCATCAGAGGAAGCACACAGGAGAAAAGCCCTATGAATGTAATGAATGTGGGAAATCCTTCAGTCACAAATCATCACTCACGGTGCATCACAGGGCTCACACAGGAGAGAAGTCTTGCCAATGTAATGAATGTGGGAAAATTTTTTACCGTAAATCAGACCTCGCTAAACATCAGAGATCACACACAGGGGAGAAGCCCTATGAATGTAACACATGTCGGAAAACCTTTTCTCAGAAGTCAAACCTTATTGTACATCAGCGAATGCACATAGGAGAAAAACCTTATGATTGAAGTGAATATTAGAAATGTTGAGCCACAATTCAGCACCTACTCCATTTCAGAGAATTCACACTATGGAGAAAGCTCTGTTGACATTCTGAATGTTTAGTAACCTTCATCCAGACAACTGGCCTTATTTTACTCCAAAGTAATAACATAGGACCAATTTCTAGACTGCAGCAAGTATAGGGCAACTTGTTAACAGATAATATTCCACTGAATGTCATGTACTGGCATAAAACCTCACAGATTTTGATTTTGTGAAAGTTCTAACAAAAATACTAGGTTATGTCAGAATTTATATAGGGGAGGAATCTGTCCATTTGAGACTTATGGATTGCAGATTTTGTTTAGAGGTAATGTAACATCAAAAGCTAGAATTTGTGTTTTGGTACAAAACAGCAGATTGTAATTTATAATGCATATTGTGCAATGTAAAGCTTTAAAAACTAAAAAGAATAGTAAAATAGGTTCAAAAGAAGTTGCAGTAGTAGTAGTGCATAGAATTCTGATGTGCCCTTTACAAAGCTTCTTCTAATAATAGTTACATAACTATAACATACTCTAATCAGTGTTATATAACTGTAACATATTTATAGCCGTAACAGGATGGTACCCTACTACTAAGTCAGATGCAGACTTTATTCAGATTTCACTAGTGTTTACATGTGATCTTTGTGTTTGTCTGTGCATTTCTATGAAATTTTGTGGTTTATATATTTGAGTAACCTTCAACACAGGTTGTAAAATCAAAATGGAATCTGGAGTCTGTATTACATGAAGATTACAAAGGAATCAGGATTTCACCACAGGAAGTTAATAAATATTATTAATAATAATAACCATAGCCTAATCCTGGCAACGATTTAAATATGAATGTTTTTAAAAGAAGAGATAAATTGAATAATTAGGGCAGAAGCATTAAACACCAGTGAAGCATCTCGTAAGTTCACAGGACTTAGGTATGTACATTACATAAACTATATGTTTCTTAACAAAGTGGAACTTAACATAATTGGGAATAGAAAATAGATACTCCTAGTTTAGCAGTTCTTACAATATTAGGCACATCTCCCTTGAATATAAGGCCTGGAGCAACAGTTTAAAAGGAAGCCCACGAAGCTCATGTCTAACCTTTTAAAACTTATAAATCAAAATAACTAAATGTTCAATAAAAATGTATTCTCTGCATGGAAATATCTAGGCCCTAGTCCCATTGCCCCTTCTCTTTCACCCATAGCTCACTGCAGACCATGATGTGCCTTGAGTATACATATGTAAATACTCTAGCCTTCAGCCTAAATTTATCCAGACCCTGGGTAAGCACCTGCTTTCCAAGACAGGGTTCAAGAAGGAAGCCTCAGACTAGACGACACTCAGGGCTATAAACTGGACTGTAAAGGCAAGGGTCTGATGTCCCCTGCGATCTGGGCCCTTACTGACTGTTGATTCTCTGGGGAGGAGGACTGAGGCTGGAGCATGACCAGAATGGAACTAGAGCAGTGCTTCTATTGATAGGGTGGAGGTGATATACTAAATTACATGATCAGATTATGTAAACAATTACATTAGGCTGATAACCTAAGATTACACGATCTAGTGATCTTAGATTATACACAGAGTCTAAGCTTCCATTGTGGGAAACTAGAAAAAGAAGAGCAAATTAAGTCCAAGTTATAAAAAAACAAAAGAATAATGAGAACTTAGGCAGATATCAGAGTAATTGAAAACAGGAAACCAATAGAGAAAAATCAATAAAACCAAAAGCTGGTTCTTAGAGCAGGTCAATAAAATTGATAAATCTCTAGTCAGGTTAGCTCGAGAAAGAGAAGATACAAATTGCTAACATCAGGAATGAAAGGGAGCCATAGCTACTGATCCCCTCAGCATCAAAAGGGTATAAAGGAATGTTATGGACAACTCTATACCCACAGATTTGATATCCTAAATGAAATGGGCCAATTCCTTGAAAGAAACAATCTGCCAAAACTCACAGAAGGGTAAATCTAAATAGGCATATGTGTCAAGAAATTGAATCAATTTTTAATCTTCCAAAGCAGAAAGTATTAGGCCCAGATGTTTTTACTGATGAATTCTACCAAATTAAGGGAGAAATAGTATCACTTCTCTAGAGTATCTTACATAATGTAAAAGAAGAGCTTTTACTTATTTTCTGAGGCCAGCATTACCCTAGTTGTAAAGCTAGGGAAAGACATTAGAAGAAAGCCAAGGTACAGACCAGGATCTCATGAATAGATACAGAAATCCTCAACAATATGCTTGCAGATTGAATCCAAAAGTGTATAAAAAGAACTACATGATATGAACAAGTGGGATTTATCCAGGTATCCAACATTTAATAATTAATGTAACCCATCATATCAACAGGCTAAAGAAGAAATATTATATGATCGTATCAGTAGATGCAGAAAAACTTTTCAAAAAATCTTAACATCCATTCATTATAAATAAAAAACCCAGTAAGTGAGGAATACAGAAACTTTTTACCAAGTTCCCTCAACTTTTTATAAAAATTTTTATAAAAATCCTACAGCTACCATCATACTTAATGGTGAGAAACTAGATGCTTTTCCATTACGATTAAGAGCAAGGCAAGGAGGTCCCCTGTAACCATACCTTTTCAGCAACCTTCAGGAAGTCCTAGCTAATGCAGCAAGATAAGTAAGGGAAATAGAAGGTACACAGATTAAAACTATTGATGTTCACAGATAACATGATTGTCTATGTAGAAAATTCCAGAGAATCACAACAGAAAAAATCTCCTGACACTAGAAAGCAGTTACAGAAAGGTTACCGAATATGATGCTTAGGCAGGTGATAAAAAGAAATGAGCTATCAAGTAACAGAGATACGGAACCTTAGATGCATGTGGCTAAATGAGACAAGTCAATCTGAAAAGGTTTTATGCTGTGTAATTCCAACTGTAATGCACTCTGATAAAGGCAAAACTGTGGAGACACTGAAAAAATCAGTGGTTTCCAGGTGGTCAGGGTGAGGGTCAGAGCGATGAATAGGTGGATTACAGACAATTTTTAGAACAGTGAAACCATCCTATAGGATACTATAATGGTGGATACATGTCATTCATTTGTCAAAACCTACAAAGTGTAAAACACACCTACAAAGTGTAAGATACAATGGGTCAACCCTAATGTAAACCATGGACTTTAGTTGTAAAAATGTATCAGTATTGGCTCATCAGTTATAACAAATGTACCACACTAATGCACTGCATTAATAAGGGAAAAGTGTGGAGGGAGGTAGAGGTAAAGGGGTATATAGGAACTTTGTGCTTTCTGCTAATTTTTTCTGTAACCCTGAAACTGCTCAAAAAAATGGAGTGTATTAAATAAACAACCCTTCCACATATTACTTTCTTATATATTTACAGAATTTGAAACTCACATGATTCAGTACCAGTTTTTCCATGGTGGGGATGGAGTAGGGTAGGGAATGCATTCTTAGAAATCATATATTGTCAACCACTAAGGCATATTTTCAATTACAGCTTTCTGCTTTTCTAAGCCTTATTATCTTCTTTTGAAATTACCTTAAATTACTTACCTCTCATTATAACATCTTACTTCTGCACTGAACATGTTTCTGCCCTACAGCTATAATAATCACTAATGAACATTTGGGTTGTTTTTATAGTCTTCAGAATACTTTAAATTATAGCAACTGTGGCTTGAAATTAAGGCCCAGTGTAATAGAGTCTCTTCACATCTAAAACTAAGATCTCTGGTGGCCTAACTGCAGATTTCCCTCCCTCTTCTCTTCCCCCAGGTCACTGTAGTCAGACAGTCCTCCTTCCTTATCTGGGGGACCAGTTCTTGGTTTTCCCTCAGTGGCAAGTTGCACTTCCCTACCAGCCCACGAAATTATTCTGAAAAACCATTTCCATCTTCTCACAGAAACTTCACTGCACCCTCTGCATACTACAGAGACATTTCCCACAACCCCTGGTTTTCCCTTTGTTCCCAAGCATGAGAACCTGTGTGACCCTGGTTGGTGTGTGGTGTCCTCTCGCCTGGCCTATGAGTAGACATAACTAGTAAGCTTATGTAGGTCTCATCTGTCCAGTTTAAGGTGTCACATGTTCCGCTACTGCATCACCCCAGGGCATGAACCCTGCCACCAGCAGAGTGACTAGGAGGCAGGTAGTACAGCTGGGCCATCTAAGATAGGTCCCCTGGTCACTTAGCTAATTGCTCTTGTCTGGCAGGTTCTGTGATGTGGCAGAGGCTGCCTGGGATGGAACCACCAACCGCTGGCAGGCTCACACTTTGGCCCGCTCTGCTCTGTGTTGTTGTTCGGATGTTGCTCTCTCTTCCCACTCTAAGAGGCTCTTGTCCCTAAGAGAGTTGTTCGTTGGCTCTGCTCCCAGGGTGACTTGCCATGGGGTTCAGTCTGTTTGGCAGGTGGTGTCTGAGCTACCTGTGAGGCCGGCTGCTGCACTGTGGTACTTTCCCTTGTAACTACCCAGGATGTCCACATCATGGGTGATGTACATGGCTAGAAGTCCAGAATAACTGAGGAAATTTGTATGAGAGAAATAAGAGAGAAAGAAACCTGCATGGCAAAAAAAAAGACAGCCATAGCAGGCAGAGGATGTTAAGTCAGCCAATCTCTCTGGGTTATGGGCCCAGCATGCTTTTGCTGCACCGCCTGTTTAAAAGGTTCTGTGCTCATGGTTAGAGTACAAAACTCCTATCCTGAGGTGCAGCAAAGAGGTTAATTCAGGTGCAGCTTAGGCCTGGGATCCTTGCACCATGTGAAGCAACCATTGCCATGGAGCAAGCCCCCAGCCCTTTCCTGAAGAAAGAAGTTTATAAATTTGATCGGAGTAAAGAGAACCCTCCTGAAGTGCAGCAAGCAACCACAGAAAGAGAATAAATGGCACGGAAGAATGAAGGGAGGGAGGCAGAGACTTAGATACAAGGAGAGCA